GAAAACTCTTGTCAATTCATCTGGTGTGCAATGTTTTAATTTTTTTTTTTAAATGCAGCAAGTTTACAATACACTACACAAATGTACGCGACATACGAGTATATATACCACAGAATAACGTGCCACATGATGGCAGAAACTATAGTCTCACTCCACACAAATCTCGGACTCCATACAAAAATCATTATCGCTGTGATTCCCCTCCCCCCAAACTTATATTTACCTTATATTTATTAGAATAGACTAATAGGGACTGTCAATGGATCGTCTCATTCGTTTTACGACCGCGTCGTCTGTCACTATCGCTAATTGCAAAAATAGCTCAGAACATGATTCATACATATACACTATACACACGCCACGACGGAGAGAATATTAATTATACACGCATACAATATATATATATATATATAGTAATAAAGGTGAAAAAAATAGATTTACACATAGATTCCATAAATAATTGAAAATATATTATTTGTTAGAACATATTATAATTATTGGAGAGACGCTGTCTCAGTTTCCCCTGACCGCCCCTGTTTATAAATAATTATTAATAAAATGGACGTAGGAGAAAGAGACGAAGGAGAAAAAATTAAATAATTCATTATGAATAGTTATTATTATCTATTCAAATTAGGTATTCAAAAGCTGATTTATGAACAATTATCACATGTTTCTTTAAACTGCATTTTTGAGTGAATCGTTTTTGACAAATATTACATTGGAACTTTGGTTCCACTCCACATTCAAATTTTAAATGTCTATTAAGATGATGCTTCCTGTAATAACTGCGTCCACAACGTTCACAACGGTTTTGAAAATGAGTCTGATGATAATTGGCCGTTATGGCGAAATCTATAACAATAATTGCTTTAGTTTTTATTTTAAACTAAAAAAAACCAAACAAAATACCAGACTTCAAGAGGACGTTATACCCACATCTACTGTCTCAGTCCAACTACCGGGTAACATACATAAACAATGTTTACGCAGAATAAGTAAAAGTAGCTTAATTTTGATTTTAGAGTAAAAGTACCTATTATGAAATGTATAGAGAACAATATTTTGTAGGGAATATCATAGGGTTTTTGTATTATTCAAAATATACAGCTCGACATAAAAGATATAAAAACCTTTTATTTTTTTGCTTTTTTAAATAACTGTAACTTTTTTTAATAGTTCATAGTTCAAAAAATATCTATAACATTCCCTCCGAAATATTGTTCTCTATACATTTTATAATAGGTACTTTTACTCTAAAATCAAAATTAAGTTAGTTTTATTTATTCTGCTTAAGCATTGTTTTTTTATGTTACCCGGTTGGACCGAAACAGTAGATACGAGTATAACGCCGTCTTAAATAATATTTGGTACCTATTTGATAACAATCATCTGAAGTAAAATGTAATTCAAAAGTCTAAGCTAAATGTAAAACAACTATAAATATAGAACTATAGCTTATACAAGCAAATATTTAATTTCATACTACTTAACTATTTCCAAATAATATTTTATAACTATAATATACAAATATATTATCTAAAATTAGAGATCTGAACTATTTCTGTAAATTGTGTATTTTTATTATTGTTAAAATATTTATAACATTGTTAATAAAAATATATGAAAGATACTGACTGAAGGAGGGACTGAAGGATTGAAGGAAAATAAGATAAATAATTCATACGAATAATCAATTAGAATAAGGTATTCAAAAGATGATTTATGAATTCCTATGACACACTTTTGAAAAGCAATATGTTTTAATATTTATTTATGAGTTCGTCGTTTTTGAAAACAAATTATGACATTTCAACTGTTGTTCCACTCATGTTAGAACATTAAAATGGCTATTGAAATGATGCTTACTAAAATAACTATAAATACAACTTACTGACAATGAATTCAACGAATATTTTCCACTGTACTGAAATCCATAACAGTAATATTTTGTTACTTTTAATTTTACCAAAACATATTTTATCTTTTTTCAACATAGACCGTTTTCATGAAAATTGTGATAATGATTTTATATAAAAAAAGAATAATAATTAACATGTTTCTATATGTACTCTTACATAAATATCAGATATACCGACCTAGGTAGCTAGACAATTGACCTAAACAGTTGGCTATTAGGTAAAATCTGTATTATATTAAAATTTAAAAGCAAAGGCTGAAACTAAAAAAAAAAAATTTTGTTTAATTTTTTATTTTGTTAATATTTTTATAAATTATTGAAAATATAAAATATTAGAAACGGTTTCAATTTTAAACACCAATATTACACATTTTTCGATTTCGGTTTTGATTAATAATATCGCAATCAATTTTTTTGCCTTCGATTTCGGTTTTAATTTAATTAGATTACAAGTCCAAAGCAAATTTAAAATACATAACTACAATCATAGCGCTAATATTGTATAATCAAATATTTAAAATTGTTCAATAATAATATGGGATGAAAAATTAAACATTATTGTTATATTTTTTAATATTTGGATTTATTTTAATGAATAATAGGCTCCGCTGAGGGTTTTCACGTTTCCGTTATAAATCGCATGCTAGAGCAAATTTGGGTTCTGCAGTAGGAATAATTTTGTGTTGCTATTTTTAATATTAGAGTGAAGAGACCCTATAATGAGTTATAACTTGATAAACGTTTTAAAATTGTGATAATTCACATATTCACATGTTACTTAAAAATTAAAGTATCGATAAAACGCCGACATAAGTTTAGTTAAGAACCTAAGTTTAGTATTATATCAATTCACTTTAATATTAAAACTAACGGCATGAAATTTTTTGTGCTAAACACAAATTTGCTAAGTCGTGTCTAATGCGTTTGTAAGACTGAGACAATATACGTAGATGCTGGTTTGGTGTCCTCTTGACTCTTATAGTATTACTAGTATTAGATAATTACATAAAAATTGATTACAATTTGTATAACATAATAGAGTATTTATTTTATGATAATTAACTAAAATAAGTTTTATGAACAATCATGACGTGTATTTTTAAACTTGCTTTGTGCCGGAATCGTTTGGCACAAACAGTGCACTGGAATTGGGGTTCCACACCACATTCAAATGTTAAATATCTATTGAGATTTTTCTTCTTGTACATTCCTGTATAACTATGACCACACATATTTGGACAATGAACCCGATCTATAAACATAATATTTGTCTCATTAATATTAAAAATATGTGAAAAAAAAAAACAATATTATAGTTATGAATTATATAAACATTGGTTTATTTAAGATAATGTGAAATAATGGTATAATAAAGCCTCGTCTTTAACAATTTTTTTCTCCGTTTGTTTCTCTCGTAATAAGGTAATGTAACAAAGGCATTCGGCATTTACACGATTATTACTCTGGTTGAGTTTAGGGCAAAGGGGCCTATTAATCATTGTATAAATAATTTACTTTAAATCGTGCGAATGATTTTTTTTTTAAATTTTTTCTTATTATATGCGTGTTTTAATTTTCTCTTAATTTTAACAATTAATAACTTATTAAGAAAAGAACATAAAAAAAAGTCATCCGTAGGATTTATAAAATATGTAATGGGTTTCTTTGCTCTCAATAATAATAAGATTAATAATAAGAGTCGCAATCATGAAAATGCGGAATGCCTCTGTTACTATATTACGTGCGATTAAATTATGATTGAGCACGGTTTACCTTTTTTGGCAGTACGCTTAAAATTGAACAATAAAATAACTACCGACCCCCAAAAAACCCAGTATTATTGAAAACTAATTTTTGTGAAACGTTTCCATACATCAGTCGTATGTCTCGTCATGCTCATTAATACTCAAATTGTTGATCTCTATAAATAAAAAAGGTCATCATTTTTTTCTATTGCGAAGTTCAGTAACAGTCTCATTAAAAGCCTCGGGTAAAGCAGATTACATATTTTTTTCGTGCAATTTTAAAAACTGAGCGCGTATAGTTAAAATGGTATAGTCGATAAGGACCGTGCTCAATTACCTTATTACCTTATATGCAAAACAGACAAAAAATATTGATGACGAGGCTCCTTATTCAAATAAATTTAATGAAAATCATTCAAATTATTGTAAAGCGATAAATAATAAAGTTATTAGTATTCATGCGTTTAAATGAATTTTAGGTAAGCATATCAAATGCTGATTTTATATCAGTGTGCAACATATAACATAATATTATAATTTATAATGTGATAAGTTGATGGCTTTTTCGTGCTGCTGCATTAGAAGTCTTGGACGCTTGGTGCCACGGATTTGGCCTCTGATAAATAATGCAAGGGGCCTAAACTACACAGCATCTGTCTTTAGTGCAATTAATTAAGTCACAATTTAGATCATTTTCAAATAATATAAAATAAAAACTTCAGAAGTATAGAATATCAATTTAACATTATTCGTAATTTTTATTATTTTGAAATAAATCATAATTTATTATTATAAATAAGTACGTAAGTATAACTAAATTAATAAATTATGAACAGTTATCAAATGATTTTTTTTTGCTGGCAAATTTGAAAATGCAATTGTAATTCAACTTAACATTCAAATATTCAATGCCTATTGAGATGTTTCTTCTAGTAATAACTTTGGTCTACACCCACAACTGTTTGAATTTGATGGATATTTATCATTGTGCCGAAACCTACAAAAATATTTTTTTCATTTTGAATTACCCAATTATACGAAAAATAATAAAAAAGATTATGTATAATATAAATATATATGAAGTACCTAGGTAGATACCAGCAATGTATGTAACTACTACCTACTATTATCCGGTACCTAATTAAACATATTTTAATAGAATGATAATAAACATGTTTCTATGTTTACCTACATTTAAATTAATATAAGGTACCTAGTATAGCATATTAAGCAGACATTGCCATTTGGTTAAGTATTATTCATTATCGTTAAATAAATAATAATCAATATCAATTAGTATGACTAAATCAATCAATATTATGAATACCTACTTATTATTGAATAAAAGATTGATGAACACACAGGAGATGTTTTTTTAAATTTGAATTATGAGGAAATTTTCTTTGACATATTTGACATTGGAACTGTGGATCTACTCCGCATTCAAACATTAAATGCCTATTAAGAGTGTATTTTCTGCGAGCTCCTTTATAACTACGACCACAGTTATTTGGACATTGAATTGAATCAATGTGTGACATTGTGTATCCATCTAAAAAACATAACATGGATATAAATTGTATACATCAAATAGAAATGCAATGAAAATGCAAATATTATGAGTAGGTAACAATATTTGTAAAAATAAGAATAATAAAATAAAGCATTAATATGTTAGTGTTATAAAATATATAGTTTTATTATAGGTATACCTATTATACCTACATACAATTATTATAATTTTTTTTAGTTTTTATAGACTATTGAATAACCCTAGAAAACTTTTGTATAGGCCGAGAGTTATCCACATTTAGAAACATTCATCAATTTTAACATGCATCTTCATGCTTTTCTTACTTGGTTCAACTTATTTTTAGTTAATAGATTGCAAGTTGATTAATACTAAGACCAAGATATTTTGATCTGCATTAGATGTTCCTCAAAGTGACAATTAAATTGTCATTTTGCCGGTGTAAAAATAAATAATTATTTTATGCAATTTTCATATACGGTCTTATATCACTAAAGTGAATTTTCTTTTGCGTCGTGTTTCTTATTATACTTAATATTATAATTAGTTATGAATAACTATTACTAATAACTAGGCTAGGAATTATATGCATTGGTATTTTTTTTTCAACTTTTGATTAGTGTTTTTATCAGTCATATCCACAAATTAGCTCATGTTGAGATTGATAGGGGTGTTTTTTTTTTTTGCATACTTTGCATACATTGAATATAATTAATATTATTGTATATTTCAATAACAAAAATGCGAAAAATGCTATTTAATTTAGCTAATATTTTCAAGGATTTTATATTGTACAGTTAATAGTTATACTGGATAAAAATAAATGTATACGTTTATATTTCTAAAAGTTAGTATATGTTTGACAGTCATCGTGTTTGGTGTATCTATTTTAAAATAAACTCGACGAGAGTTTAGAGACCGTTAAAAACAAAAATTAAAACTTTGACGAAACAAATGTACAATTTATTGCTGAAAAACTCGACCAAAAATTAAAAAATTAGTTAGAAAAAATACAGGACTAGAATCTATGTTTATGTTATCTACGTAATATTTTTAATAGAAATAATTTGGATGAAGTCTTCCTAAATTTAATTCCTGCAGAAGTAACACAATTTAAATCCGCAAATGTTACCGTCATGGCATCATGTCAAACGGAGTTTTAGTAAATATAAGAATATCTTAAAAACTAACAGAAGTTCGTTCATTTTTGAAAATTTAAATCATGTAATACATTTGAATGATTTTAATGATTGTTTTTTAGATTTTAGAACTTTGTAAACATTTTTTTTTCTTCAGTTAATAATATTTTTATTGGTATATTTTTGCATATTTTTAATAAACAAAACGCATATTTCATTATTTTTTTATTTCATATAATTCCTAGTCCTTCTAATCTTTTCGGTAATCGGGTTGCCGGAATCAGCTGGAAACAATGGAGATTTTCAAAAAAAAAAAAAATGTTTGATTAAATCCACGAATCTTATTTTAATGAACACGGCAAGCTCAGAAAAAAATTAATTTTCCATTCTGACTTTTTAATCCTTCATAAATTGAGTTTAAAAATCAATAAATTGAAAATTTTTCAAAATGATTAGTTTTTGAGGGAATTAGATATGTCTTACCCGGTTTCTGGTTTATTGGGTTACCACTGTGACTGAAATCACGCCTTATTATGTATCTCAGATTAATATCGTTATTAATGCATTCTTATCAGTATGGTAACCTTAATATAGCAGCTGATATTTGGTAAGACACATTTTAATCTTTTTAAATTAGTTATATTTTAAAAAAAATTTAAGTCCTAAAATAATGAGAAACAAAATAACTATTTTTTCAATCAGACAAAATTATAGAGGGAAAAATGTTGACAACTCCCATTGAAAACTACGTTTACTGTTTTCGATTCCTAATAATCTACTGATAAAAATTATCATTCAATCATTCCATCCATTTTATACAACAAAAAATACTATATGGTAAATTAAACATTTTGGCGAGTAACTGACCAAGTAGCCAATAACAGCAAACAATGCAGCAAACTGTTTACTGAAAACACGCCCTTTGTTAAATAATAATTAAAAATCACTAGAAATAAATACATGATTGGTGAATTTTAATGTTGTTAAATAAAGAATAATATTTATTAATTAGATAGTTAGTAAAACTATACAATTACAGCATGAATATTTATAAGGTGTGATTTTAAACTTGATTTCTGAGTGAATCGTTTTTGACAAATAGTACAACAAAACTGTGGTTCAACTCCACATTCATCCCTTAAATGCCTTTTGAGACTGCTCTTCCTGTAATCTCCTGTATAACTACGACCACAACGGTTTGGACAATAAACCCGATCTATTACGGGTACTTTTTCATAACCTATAAATATTATGGATTTATATATATATATATATATATATATATGTTTATTAACATTTAAATTGTAATTACATAGGTACTAGTGTAAATATTTTCAAATGCGTCCAAAAATAATAATAAAAAAATGATAAAATAAGTAAATGTTTCCATCTGTTTAATTCAAAGCGACAACAGGTATTATATTAGAAATTATACCAATTGAAATAAAAAAACATAAAATAATACATATATTTATAACATTTATATAAAGGTGATAACTTTTAAGCATGCTTTAATATTTAATTATTTAATATGCATAGCAGGTATGATATAACCAAAACAGTATACAGTAAATATTTAATTTAGATCATTTCAAATAATAATATTAATATGGAATAGGTATTCAAGATAAGTACAACGGTAGAAGTCAGTAGAACTAAATAAATTTATTAAGATGAATATTCCATGTATTATTTTAAATTTGATTTTTGACTAAATCGTTCCAGACAAGAATGCCATTAAAACTGGGGTTATACGCCAGTATAATAGTATCTAACACCATAAATATTCGATTTTAGCATTATTAAATATGCAATAATACAAATTACCAGCACTAAAGACATAATTTGTAAATTTGAATGTTGTTAAATAAACCACAATTACCATTAACTACGTAGTAAAAGTAATAAAACAACACTATAAATACAAAAAATATATAATTTTAGATTTGATTTCTGAGTGAATCGTTTGATACAAATGTTACAACAGAAATTACGGCTCCACTCCACATTCGAACATTAAAAGTCTTAGTCTTCCTGTGACCTGTATGGTCCCATATAACTGTGACCACAATTATTATTGTTAGAACAATAAATGTGATGCATGCCAGCCATTGTATCAAAATCTATAAACATAATTATAATTAATATTACCTACTCGTGTATTTATTACGACCATATTACTTATATTAATTTACATTATAATACCAAATCATTTTGGTATACCTGTATCCTGTATAATATTATGTCTGATTTTTTTTATAAATTATTTTATACCTAAAAATAATAATAGATAACTAAAGAAGTTTTCATTACTTTTTAATTCGAAGCACAATGGCCACAACAATGGTTACACAATGAGCAATAATATAAGACCACCAAGAACATAAGTTGCATCATAACATAGAGTAATATTACTCAATACATCATAGATAATAGCCACCTATTAATATTTTAATACAGGTACAACGCTATACAAGTATTTATATCCGTATTTCGTGGCACATACTAAAGGACCGGACTTGTTTTTATAAAAATATGCTGACCATTACTTAAATTTTTATTTCAAACCTAGACGACAGGGCGTGGTACAGTTATTGGAAAATGATAAGAAAAAATCCGAGCCGGGCTTCGAAAACAAATTTTAAACTGGGTCCGGTTCAGTTTAAAATTCCACGCACGCTAATAAAATCCCTGACCAAACTTTTATATATATGTGCACAAAAAAATCTGGCAGGACCGGATTATTTTACAACCTGGCCGGGTCAGGAATTATCGGTCCGTGCAAGCCTTTGTAGTATCTATAACCACGAATTAAAGTAACGAAACTCTTCCGACAGATATATTGTAATATAGGCACTAATTAGCAGGGTTGGTAATATTATACGCGTATAAAACGTTTTATACGTTACCCTACGTATGAAACGTAGGGTAACAATGATCTAAATAAATGATCATTCTAATCTAGGGTAACTTTATAATGACTTTATAATGACAGTTCTCACCAATGGAAAAAAAGTCGTCTACCTGATTCTTAAACTGAGATTATGGCTGATATCCGACCACGATTGGTCGATTTTTTTTAAAAACTCTGTTTAAAAATCAATTTTTGATATTTATTTTTTTTTTTAAGTTTATTATAATGGTTTCAACATTATACATTTGCAATTTTAATAAGTATTTAAATTTATAAATTATTATAACAAATTTACAAATCACATCAATTTGGTGAATTTTCATAAATTTAGAATAAAATAAAAACAAAACAAATACATTTTTAGTATTATAAATATTAATAAAGAATAAAAATGAACTTAGTAATTAACATAACAAATATCACATGTATCTTAGGAAATTAATACAAATTAATACAAATAAAATGATGATTAAATTCAATTGGAAATTGAATTTTTTCACCGGATAATTTCTGTTCAGTGTTGCAGCCAAAAAAAAAAAAATTATGTAAAGTATAAAATATATAGTTTTATACGTACAATACATGTTTTATACTTTACTGTATTATACATTCCAACCCTGCTAAGTAGTAATAATTAATAATATATAACACACATTTACAAACATAATTGGAACCTAAACATTTTAAAACTATTTGTTATATCGTTAAATACAATTTTGTTTTCTGTAATAACTCCAATCATCTTTGTTTAGGACAACGAACACTATGAATATTTGACAAATTCTATAATTATTTACATTTTTTTAAATTAATTAATTAAACAAAAATATTTTTTAGTAGGTGATACTAAACCGTTTTAGAAATTATTAGGTAACAAGAATGTAAACTATGTACATAAATTAGTACCTACATAGTTAATATTTGAACATTAAATAAAACGCATAGATAGGTACTGCAATCAAAGCAGTAAACAAGGAATATTTAATTTAGATATTTTCAAATAAATTTTATAAAATAAAATAACAGATCATAGACACAAGTTCTTAATTATTATGAAATAAATAAATTATGATAAATTGATACAGCTAAACAAATGAATTATGAACAAATATCACATGTTTTTTTAAATTTGATTTATGACTAAATCGTTTCTGACAAATAAAACACGGAAACTGGGGTTCCACACCACATTCAAACATTAAATGTCTTTTAAGATTTTTCTTTCTGTAAATTCCTTTATAACTATGACCACAATCGTTTGGACAAGGAAGACGATGCATATTGTCATTTGTGTCATAATCTATAAACATAATTTTTTTTATCAATACTGGTACCTTACATAAAACAATAAAACATTTTAGAATGGCACTAAATAAACAAATTGGATGAAAAATACCTAGCTAGGTATGTACATTTGAAAATAAATTTATTTATTTGTATGTGTACACATTTTGTAAGCGTACAAAGCATTTTGTATAAAATATTTTTCTAAATAAATGAATGAAATGGCACACTCACTCACACGATTTAAGAGGATATGATTTAGTTGCCTAGGTACTTTATTAATTAAATGTGCCGTCTCCATTTTATAAGTAACTTAAATTTGTTAATGGACGTCTGTAAATTGAGACAGCATACAAGGATAATATAATATGTGACATTCTCTTAAAAAAATAACCAATCATTTAATTTTAAATTTATAACAATGATTTATGAATAATTATAACGTGTTTCTTTAAACTGCATTTCTGACTGAACCGTTTTTCACATATAAGACATTGAAACTTTGGTTCCACACCACATTCAAACATAATATGTCTATGAAGATTTTTCTTTCTGTAAGTTCCCGTATAACTGTGACCGCAATTGTTTGGACAATAAATCCGATGATTTTTTGCAATTGTACCATAAATATCTATAAACATAGGCCATTTTTTTTATGCATTTAGGTATACCGGGTGATCCATTTAAATGGGTACACTCATTATCTCGGAAAGAGATAAATTTTTCCGGAATGTTTTATAGAAAATTTAAGAAACAAGCTGCTCTACAATTTTATATCTTTATTATTTTTTGTCACCCTTATTTTTGGGGGTAAAACAACTACCTACTTTTGACTTTAAAATGGCAACCTATATTAAAAATTCCATAAATAAATGGAGTATTAGTTAAAAAAAAATGTCGATGTTGAAATTTATTTTTACTTATACTACATTTATTTATGGTATTTGTAATATAGGTTGCCATTTTAAAGTCAAAAGTAGGTAGTGGTTTTACCCCCAAAAATAAGAGTGACAAAAAATAATATAGATATAAAATTGTAGAGCAGCTTGTTTCTTAAATTTTCTATAAAACATTCCGGAAAAATGTAATACTTTCCGAGATTATAAATATACCCACATTGTATATATATAAAATAAAAATTGATTCAATAATTAGTTAGTGAAGTAACAAAGCAAGGCTTTTAAAAATTAAAAACTAAATAAATTCAAAAACAAACAATAATAATAATGAAATTTAATACATGATATATAATTTATAATTTAATTTGTTTCCAATATTGATATTTATTAAAGACTGATAGAAAAAACTTAGGTTATCTTAAATCATAAATAAAATTTCAAAATAAAAATAAAATAAAAAAACTCTTATAAATGTATGATGAATAAAGGTTAACAGTTTAATCTATTAAAATTATCAGTTTAAATTATTTTTCACTTATAACACTAAAAATATAATGATATCTACAATCACAAATTTGTTTATAATTTTTCAAATTTTGTATCAGTTGCATTACAGTCAACCGAGATGATTAGATTAAATTTTGACTTTCTTCTTAGTACCGATTCTGAGTTTAAAAAAAATATCACAAGTCTATGAAAAATATAAATAACTGCATAAGTTTCTTAAGTAGTCTAAGCTTCTACATTAAAATTTTAGACCAAAAATGGCTTCAGAAAAAAATAAAATATGGCTGTTTTAAGTAAACTAAATTTTTGGTGACTTGAAACAGTTCTGAAAATTTATTTTTGAATTCAATTTTAACCTATTAACTATTACTTGATATAAAATATTTATTTTAAAAGACAGACATACTTTACACGACTGGTATATAGACCAATATTGTTGGTGAGAAGTTAAAAAGATAGTACATAAAGGCGAATTCAATTTATATCTGTAGGTATGCAATAATAAACGATTCAGAGCAGTTTTTTTTTATATACATGTACATATATCTTTTCATTTTTCCTATGTATTTTCCCAATTATTATAAAAACCATTTGGGAAATCAAAAAAATAATCTCCATAAAGTACCACTCAAAAAAGTACTATTATTGAAAATCAGAAAAGTTGAAGTTGTTCACTGATAAAAAAAATAAAAATTATAAGCATCATACACTCCGAATCTAAAATGAATCCAAAAACATTTCTAACAAAAATATTAACTTCACTTTATGGCATAACATAATAAGTGCTTTTTATTCACATCAACATGAAAGTAACAACTTTTTAATAATACTATACAAGTAAACTTAACAAAGCTTAATTAAACTTAATAAGTAACTTAAATATTATAATGGTTAGCTATTCAAATAAATAATTTCCTCTTCTTTGTTTGTGAATTATAATTTTGTTGACAATTTGTTCAATTAAAACAGTGGCTTCATAAATTATGAATAGAAAACAAAAAAACTCTATCATTTGGTTGTTTCTTTTTAAAAATGTATATGTATATTCATTAATGTAATTATGTAATTATTCATTTCCATCTATTTTAGTGACGACGATTTTTGTGTTTCTTTTTAAAGTTTCAAAATTAACCGCAAAAAGTAATTTATATCTATATTATCACATGATTTTATTTTCAGTCTTATTTATATAACTCATATATATCATCATCATTATTTAATATATTTTTTTTAGTCTCATTTATTAATGTACTTTCTTTTAGGTTCAGGGCGTAGCGATTGATTTAGAAAATAAATCTGTTGAATACTTGCATAGTATGCGCCATAATCTATAAATAAAAAAAAAGTTTTAAATTATTATGTATTTAGTATTATAACAAAATAATATTTAAATAATAATAATGAGATTAACACTATGTTGGTAAGGTCATATCAGGGTAGTGGGTAAGGAAGTTAACTCTCCATTTCGAAAATGTCAGTAAATAAATAAATAATAATAAATATAATTTTAATGTTAACCAATAATAAATCCTACCCACCTCCCTAGATAAATAATCTATACCTACACCTATGAGCCGTATAACTTCAAGTATTAGGTATTCAATAAAATATAGTAAAGTTAAACATATTTTACCATAATAATAGATTAATACAAATTTTTTTATGTGTATTTTTGAATGAATGTAAGGTCATGTATAAATTAATATATAATTATTCAATATCAATTTATAGATGATATTAAAATTGTATTTTAAGTCACGAAAACTGTAAAACAATAAATATACAAGCAGCAATTTTAATTGAGTTCTTTCCAAACAGTATACCAACTAATGAATTATACTTAAAACTATCAAATTTTTTTACCTACCTATTAATATTTTTATTTTTTATATTACCATTTATTCTTTTATTTTAATTATAAATTATATACCTATATTAATTAATTACTGTAAAACCTAGTTAGTACGCCAAGTGTTTAAACTTTTACAGTGGAAATTAATAATAAAATAAAACCAAACTTCGCATTCATACACGTCATTTATTTGTAAGAAGGTACCTATGTATTATAGTATCAATAAATTACACACCAAATACAAAGTATCATCAACAAAAACTTGTTAGGTAAGCTGGTACAAATTTCGTTTTTCAAAAAAAATCTGTCAACTGGGTTGTTTTTTTATTTACCTAACCATAAATAATTGGGACGAAGAAAAAGAATTAAGAAGGCTTCCAGTCTACCAAAACACTGAAATTTTTAATGTTACTTATAAAAGTTACAACAATATATAAACAAATCGATGTCATCCGCTTGTGTATATCAGCTCGAGTAGCAATTGTGTACTTACAAACTATAATTTGCGCACCAAAGGAGCGAAGAAAAGGGGAGTTTTTACGCAGGATTGCGTACTAAATGGGGCATACATACTTTTAATGTGTGTATTTATGTACAAATAAGACATGTTGCTTTAAATTTGATTTACGACTGAATCGTTTTGGACAAATAGGGCATCGGAATTGTGGTTCAACTCCACATTCATATCTTAAATGTCTTTTGAGCCCATTATTACTTTGATAATTACGACCACAATTGTTTGGACAATAAATCCGTTGAATAAATGCTTCCGTGTCATGATCTAAAACATAATTGGTTTTATTTAAAAAAAAAATTATTTAAAAATAATTAGTTAGGTTATAAAGAGGTACACACTCTGACTGTGTTAGTTGGTAAGGTTATAATGGTTATATTATTAATGAGCTGCGTTGTTAGGGAACGCCTTCCTAAAGGAGCGATTCTTGGAATTGTTTTTCTTTTTAGAGGAACGAAGGAAGGAATTAATTCCATTATTTTCAAAGGAATAGGAATGTGAATTAACTTCTTATTTTTATGAATATGAACATAAATATTGTAATTATTTTGTTGTTCTTTTTAATGTGTTTTAAAACATATGTGGGGAAAACAATTTTGTTTATTAAGTTTTTAATCTAATAAACGAGACATGTCCAACTAATTTTTATTGACATTCGCCTTGGTGTTCCATCTTTTCTGATAACGATAATAATTCATAAAAATATTTAACTATGACAGTATGATATTTTATTGTAATCACGAATAAAGATATACGTGATTCATGATTATAATACAATAAATTTAATACCTTACATATATATACTGTGACTTACAACATATGATATAGTTACGATAAATACGTTATACATGCATATCATAAATGACAAAAACTGATAACAAAAAACAAAACGGAAGCAGGATCCCGTATTTTTTACCATAATGACACAATGTAATATTTTCATTTTTATTAACATACAAGGTACATAACTCGCAGTATATATTTATTTTTTTATAAAAATTTACATGTCACACAATTAGTGTGAAGTGACTATTGAATATCTCATAAAAACCTTATAAAATATGTCAAATATGTACCTATCAATATATTCCCAAAACAATTTAATTTGTGATGATTTCTAATTAAGAATATAAAAACATTATTTTGGATTGTATTAGGTAGGTGTTTATTGGAAAAAAAAAAACGAGTGCTTAAAGGAACGAGAACTAATTCCATTTTAAAAGGAATGTTAACAAAAAAGTAAACTGTTAGGTAATGAACTAATGAATGATATTTGATAGGTAGATAAACAATATATAACAATTAGATAGATAGGTAGCAATAAAAATGTTTGTTTTGTGCAATACTTTTAAACATGGTTAATTATCTCTATGCTTTCAAATGAATAATAATCTAAGACTGTGGTTAAAATCAAGCATATTTTATCATATGATAAAATGATGAATGATAATTTTATCATTTAATTATTTGATATCAATTTGTTAAATAAATTTTATTTTGAGGTAATACATAAGATTGTAAAATAAAACCAATTTTGTTTAATGTTATAAGCGAACATTTAATTTGAACATAAATAATATATTAAAAATAAAAAGACTTGATAACCGACCCCAAATAGTTGGGATGTAGGTGAAATCTAGATTAATTTTTACTGTTGTTAAAATATTTATAAATAAGTAAAACTAAATATTTATTTGATGAAAAAATATGCAATGGCATTTTAAACTAGATTTTCGAGTGAATCGTTTTTGACAAACATGACATTGGAACTTTGGTTCAACTCCACATCCAAATGTTAAATGCCTATTAAGATTGTACTTTCTGTAATGTCCTCTATAACTACGACCACAATGATTTGGACAATAAATCCGTTGAATATCTGCCTCTGTGCCATTATCTATAAAAAAAAAAATATATTTTTAAAACTTGTATTCATTATACCAATATAATATTTAATTAATAATAATAAGATACAAACACAGCGTTAATAGGTTAGGTAGTTAAATTTAGAGTTAAATAGGGTTTGAAAATAATTCTATGAATTACTACCTACAGTGCACTGTGTTTTCACAGTAATTATGCAAAATTATATTTTTTGAATAAAAACTACCTATAGACATTGTTTTCAAAGCAACTTGCAAACACAATTTATTGCATTGTACTCAGTACTTTTATAAAAGAACAATAAGAAATTATATTTACTTTTTAAACTGCAACTATTTTTAGTTATTATGTTGTTCAGTGTGTTATATATCTTCTCTCAGTGCATTTTAATAGTAGTTAAGTTATTAATTTAATATGGCTTCATCTGGGAATGATGTTGTTGCCTATTAAAAATTAAAAAATTAGCACATTTTGGCACTACATTAAAAATGTGTAGATTTATCGTTTTAAAAGAATTGGATAGAAATCTAGAAAAATGTCATGGTTATTATCGCGTGAATTCCAAAACATATGTTAAATATTAATTAAAAACTGATGATATTAAGGTGGTAATGCAGAATGATATGCAACTGGAGAAAAAACCGTGCATGTAGAGTTGATTTCAGTAGGTTTCAAATAAGTTGCATGCAAGTTGGATCACTTTTCCGTAATGTTGCAATCAGTGAGAATATGTTTGTTAATTTGAATGCGCACAGTTGCATTGCTTTAATTTTGGTTGCAAGTTGCTTTGGTGAGAACAGTGACATACAAAAAAAACTAATATAATAGTTTTTTCCAATACCGAATACAAACTATTGATCTATCGATTAATTACAATTTAATCAACTATCAAATAGTTCGATATTGTCCATCACTAATACCTATATAAAATTATAGATATATTTTATTAACAAATACATGATTTATTTTATATAAAATTTGGTTTCTAATTGGATCGTTTTTGACAAATTTTACATAGTAACTGTTACATTCAATTAATATTAAATATCTATTGAGTTTATGCTATGTATTGTACCTGCTTGACAAATGCCAGAAACCAGTCATATCAGCTATTTAAGCAAATACTAAAATTAAATTAGATATTTAGGTTCTTACAAAATAATATAAAATTAAACTATTATAACCGTTTTAAATTGATACAATGTTTTTATTAATAGTTTTAAATACATTATGATTATTACAAATACTTATATTATACAATTTTAGCTATGAACACATAAAAGATGTGTTTTTAAATTTGATTTTTGACTGAATCGTTTTTGACAAATGTAACATTGGAACTGAGGTTTGACTCCGCATTCAAGCATTAAATGTCTTTTAAGATTTTTCTTCCTGTAAGTTCCTTTGTAACTACGACCACAATCATTTGGACAAGGAAGACGATAAATATTGTCATTTGTGTCATAATCTATAAACATAATATTGTTTAAATGTTTTAATCAATTACACGCAAAAAATATTTAATAAGTATAGATACCTACACACTGTTTAATTGGGTATATAAATAAAAAAGCAATGTGATAAATTATTATTGAATAAATAGTATGAAAACCATACAAATTATTAAAGTTGTTAAAATGCATTAGTCTTATAAATATATTTAAAACTTTTAATCCATTAAACTAACAAAAATATTTAATTAATAATAATAAGCTATAAACACTGTGTTAGTAGGTTAGGCCATATAAGTAAGTAAATTTAGAGTCTAAATTATAAACTAGTAACTCTAGTACATTTTACTGTAATACTTAGTAATAAATATGTCTATATGAGTAATTTTAAAGAACATTAGGTATTAAGCAAACAATATGTATTAAGCATAAATTAACTATTATGTCATAAAATATCATACCAATTATTGATATATTATAATTGTAGTTTAAGATACCTATAAAATAACTGTAAAATATAAATTATCTTAACAACAGTTAAGACAGTAATAATAAATAATACTTGAGTAAAACTAAAAATATATATTTTATTAACAAATACGTTTTTATTTTTAAATAGATTTCTTATTGGATCTGTCACATTCAAATATTAAATGCCCATTGAGTCTATACATATTACTGTGATAATATTAACTCTGGCAATTGTTTGGACAAACAATAATGAGTCATTTGAATAATTTCCATTATGAAGTGTTCAATTATAAATTTTTTTAATCAATAACACGAAAAATAATATTGTGTAATATTAAGTGTTATATACTTGAAAAGATGTCGAAAATCCATAATTATATTAGCTTTTTAGCAAATATTAAAATTAAATTAGATATTTAGGTTCTTATCAAATAATGTATAATTAAACTATTATGACCATTTTTAATTGATACAAATATTTTTTTATTAATATTAAATAAATTAGTATAAAGACTTATATAATTAAATACACAAATTATGAACACATATAAGGTGGGTTTTTAAATTTGATTTTTGACTGAATCGTTTTTGACAAACATGACATTGGAACCGTGGTTTGACTCCACATTCAAACATTAAATGGCTATTAAGATTTTTTTTCCAGGAATAATTACGACCACAGTTGTTTGGACAGTGAAACTTTTGAATATTTTCCGTATTTGTGACATATTCTATAAACATAATATCGTTTAAATGTTTTAATCAATTACACACAAAACATATTTAATAAATCTAGTCTACCTACACACTGTTTTATGTGTACATAAATAAAAAAAGCAACGTGATATATTATTATTAAATAAACAGAATTGAAACACAACAAATTATTAAAATGCATTACCCTTGTAAAAGTAAAAAATCCATTAATATTTTTACAAATTTCATACAAAATATTTATTGCATATAAAAAAGGAAGAAATACTGCAAAGTTAACAGAAGACAACTTAATAGGCTTAATATTACAGTAATCAAAAAGAGGAATACATTATACAAGCCAATGAATAATATAGAAGCAACACTCGATCCAACTGATTCATTTTTATTTACCTCTGATCTGAAAAGTAATTCTAAGGAAACGTTTCCATTAACCTACTTGATACCAAAAAACTTTATTGGTTATCTATTTATTTGAATATCTATTGTTTGTTTACTAAGTTTGAATGATTTTAGACTCATTGTATATCATTGTATTTAACACTGAATATACAGTTTTTTGTATAAACAAATGTGATTTATCATAAAAAGTACTACCACCTATTATGATTATATTACTAAGTTAAATTGTCAAATTCCAACACTTCCCTCAATTTAGCATTATTGTATCTTCTTTTCTATTCTTGAATACCCATTTGTGTACAGCTTGATAAAACTCTTGGAACTGACATAGTGGCAAGATGAGGATGTTGGCCATTTGGTATAAAGTGTTTACATGGGTCTTAATAAGGGCACTTATGCACTAACTGCAGTAGCTTTGTTGTTTGTTGTCTAGATTGTTGTCTAATTGTGTAGACACTATGTATAAAATTTGGCCTTACTTGAAAAATCGACCTTCATGCTACTGATCTGATTTTACATCTTTCTGACATCTTCAAAGTTCAAAATCTCCATTTTTAGTATTGAGATTTGCAAAAACAATTTTCCAAAATTTAATTTATAAAATTGTAATACATTTTTAACAACAATTGAGACAGTATCATTTTCTTTCATTATAAAACCCGTAACCATTTTCAAAAGCTAGTAGAAAACTATTAATTTCAAGCTTTCTTTTGTTCTTATTCTTACGTTTTTGTACTGACAGAACTTTGACTATTGTTGGTTTTTTCCTTCCTGTTCACTATACATGAAGTTGAATTTTCCAGTTAGATTAGCCTCAAAAAATGTTTCAGATTTTTTGACCTTGAATTTTATTGCTGGGTCGAATTCTTGAGTGTTGTATCATTTTATGCTATTGCTGATTAAGCATTTTAGTGTTCCTGAATCTAGGATCAATTTCATTTTGCCCCTTATGTGATTCATAGAAACTGAAAAACCCTCATTATTTGAGTTTCTAATCAATTTCTGGTACTGTTGCACCACTTACATTCTGAAGTTTTATTTTCCATGTCATATTCCAATTTTTGTATTTATTCTAATGATTACCTCGTTTTTATAGAAGTTTCAAATAAAAGAAAACCTCTGTGATCAACCGCCTTGCCCTTGATGTTGTTTCTGGGTGATCTTTGATTGTATGGCAAAGGGTGTTGAAGAAAGTAATTGAGAAAAACAATAAGAGTTTTAATGAATACGGTTTAAAACAATGATACAACTACAAATATATTATAACAGGTATATAAGAGAGTGGATAAAACCTTATATATTTAGTATCCTAATTAGTTATTAATTATATGTTTAAGATGATTGAAAAAAAAGAAAAAGAAAATGTGCTTTTTATAATAAATTTATAATTTCCTAAATATTTAATTTAAAAAAAATAAGTAAAATTTTTGTTGCATTGTTTTAGTTTATAATATATGTAATAAGTCGGTTTTTTTTTAATACATATAAATTGTATAGGTATCTTGTATGATTCAATCATATTTTTAGTCTAATTTATTTACTAATTTTCTATTCGTCATGGATTTGCTTTATGAAATTATGGCAACATTAGCTGAGTTAAATTTCTAATCCTAAAACATGTTCTTATTTTTATTATTTCTTACTTACCAATGAAAAATTGTTTTCTCGTTTCCCTCGTTGTAGAAATAATTATATTAATCAATAATCTTAATTAATAACTCTATAGGATGCATTTATAAGGTTGGCTTCCACTATCTCAAAAGCATCATATTTTATTTCAATTAATAGAGACTGTAAAATTATTATTAAAATCTAGGTATATTTGATAGCTTGATACTCAAAATATGTTGCTGCCTGTTTCTAGATCCATTTTGGTTGCTTTTAGACTTCTGAAGGTTATTATTACCCCCATCAGGATTTATACAGTGGTAATAATTTTATTTGTAAGTAGATATATCAGTACTTATAATTATTAATAAAAAACTTATTAAAGTAAACATTTGATAGTTTGATATTATTTGTAGGGCATTTTTTAATAATTTAAAGTACCTATAAAATATTTTTTAGAAAAACTGCAGCCCAATTCGAACAAAATTATAAATAAATTTCGACAATATTCAAATAATACAAAATTAATACTATAAACAGGTAATAGTTTTTCATTGTTGTTAAATAAATCACAATTATTATAAACAATATTCGAAATAATAATGTTTTATTTATTATTATAAATCAATTAAATGATTTAAATGATTTATGAACAAACAAAACATGTTTTTTTAAATCTGCTTTCTGAGTACATCGTTTTTGACAATAAGGACATTGGAATTGTGGTTCGACTCCACATTGAAACATTAAATGCTTATTAAGATTGTATTTTCCATAATATCCTTTATAACTACGACCACAATTGTTAGGACAATGAATTCGCTGGATATTTTCAGTTTTCTTAATATCTATACAAAAAAAAATTTAACAAATGATCAAATAAAAAAAGTATAGTAGTATATGGGTATATATATATATATATAGCTAATATAAAATAGGCAATAATTAAATGTAGGTAGACACTGTTTTGGTGATATAACCCCCTTATTTTTCAATGATTACTTTTACTTAACATATTCAAATTTAAAAATAGCCATTAGAAAAATGAAAAGCATATAGGTACTGCGATCATAACAGTAAACATGCAAATATTTAGTTTAGACTTTTTTCAAATCTGTACAATAATACAAAACTAAAACTACCGAACATTTTACATAAGTAATTTCTTTTCATGATTGTTAAATAAATCATGATTAGGTAATATCAATTAGAAATAGGTAGGTATTATGTAGAGCTAAATAATTAATTTATGTTTACAAAAAAACATGAGTTTTTAAATTTGATTTATGTCTGAATAATTTTTGGCATACATAGTATTGGAACTGTAGATAAACTCCACATTCATATCTTAAATGCCTTTTGAGATGCATCGTCCTGTATTCTCCCACATAACTACAATCACAATTGTTTGGGCAATAAATTCAATGAATTTCAGGTATCAATAAACCTATAAACATTTAACATTATATATACAATAAAATGTAATTATATAAAAATAAGATGCATTGACAAATGTCTTTTGAGAATTTTCTTCTTGTCATAACTACAACTGAAATTGTTTGGATAAATTTGATGAATAATTGCTATTATGGCAGTATCCATAAACATAATTTATATTAATTACACAAAAATAATTATTATTATATAATAATAATAAGTTTAAAAATAAAATACAAACAATAACAAGAATGGAAACTACACAACAAAATGTTTAATTTAGTTTTTTTTTTTTGAAATAATTATAGCAGAGCCAACATATTGTTTTAAATACATGGAAGTTGTTTATTGTTGTAAAATAAATTACAAACATGATCAATTGGTACAGCTAAATCAATAAATTATGAACAAATAGGAAATGTTGTTTTAAATATGATTTCTGAGTGAATCGTTTTTGACAACTAGGACATTGGAATTGTGGTCCAACTCCACATTCATACTTGAAATGCCTATTGAGATCTGATTTCCTGGAATAATGATGACCACAATTCTTTGGACAATAATATCGATGAATTATGTCCATTTTTTCATAATCTATAAAAATATTAGGTATTTAAAAAAAAAGTTATAGCTACTTTGTAAAATGTTAATAAATTACTTTTTGATAATTTTCTTTCTATTATAAGTTAGTAGCACAAAAATTGTTTTATACAATAAATCTTATATGTATGCTCGTCTTGGAAAATCCAGGGGGACAATGAATTATTTTTAATTGTATTTTTTAACAATATTAACTATTTTGTAATTTGTTACATATCTCCCTTTGCTGCTAACAATAGACACTTATTGTCCTATAGACTATAAGTACCCATTTACCAAATTCTATAGATATACATTTTTAATTACACAAAAATAATTGATACTAACCATTTTAGAAAGTAATATTAAGCAAATCAAGCAAGTTATTAATCAATAAGAAGTTACAGTATATTAATTAGTATATTATAATATACTCCTATATTTGTATATTAAATGAAAAGCATACCTACTAGTAGTATAATCTTATAAATAAACAAATCAAATGTATTTTATTTATTTTCAAATAATTAAATATAATAATAATCAAATTAAAATAACATATAAAAATTATATATATATATATGTCTCTACAGTTTACAATAGGTGTGAACAAAATTAACATAAATATAAAATTGCAGAACACCTTGTTTCTTAAATGTTCTAGAAAACAAATTCCGGAAAAAGTTAATACTTTCCGAGATAATGAATTTTCCCAATTAAATGAATCATCTGGTAATCCATCTAAAACATTTTTCTTATAAATTTGAGTTTTTATCATCAAAAAACCGCCCCTATTCACCCCATTTTACAGTACTTACTGAGATAATAAGCATTTCAAGTTGAGTGAATCAACCTGTATATAAATACTAGCTTTGTTGCTGCTAGATAATAGTAATAATAATAATTTTCTTGTTCATGACAGTCAAATTGTCATCCATGTCATCAAGGTAATCCATGAATAAACAATTGGATATTCGTACCAAAAATACCTAAAAACCTTTTTCTTTGCGGATATTATATATTCATATTAATGAATACCAACATTATTAATTAAATGTGTAATGTCATTTCTAAACATTAAACAAATAAAAAAAGGAAGGACATACTTCACACATGGGCGCAGCCAATGTTGTAGGAGGGCAGTTGGGAAGGTATAATAAAGACAGGAATTTAATGTATATCTGTAAGCAACAATAACCCCATTGCTAACGAATAAACAATTTTGAGCGGAGTTCAGTTGATAGTGTTGCTTTGTCAACAGTATACCTATGTCATATTATAGTAAAATGATTATAATAATGTGTTTCCATGATAACAATGATTGTTTTATAAAGATTAAAATAATAAAAACTTAATAACAACAATAAATAAATAAAAAAGGTTGCCAATGAAAACCTTATTTTTAATCTTTTAAAACCTAAAGCATCAGATTTTCCTCATTATTTTAAATATTAATGAACATTTTAAAAAAATTACTTTTTTAAAGTACCACCCAGAGAACGTTTCCTTTCAGAAAAGGTGCTATACTTGATAATCGGAGTAAGATTTCTGGTAGAAAAAGTGTAAAAAAAATTAAAATCATTGTAACACCAATACATTCCTCGCTCCACTCAGAATAAAAAACAGCTTACTTTAAATTATAACTTAATAGGGTAAATTATTTTAATGCCATTAAAACAAATATAATGATCATCAATTAGATACTTAGTAAAAACTATATAATTACACCATAAACACATGTAAGATGTCTTTTTAAATTTTTTTGAGCAAATCGTTTTTGACAAACGTGACATCGGAACTTTGATTCAACTCCACATTCAAACCTTAGATGTCTATTAAGATGGCCAATTGCTCTATAACTACGACCACAATAGTTTGGACAATATAATCTTTTTTCCGCCAATTTGTTATCTACAAACATTATAAAAAACAAATTTAATATATCTATATAAAAAATAATTTGATACAGACATTCTTGAAATGTTTTAAATAAAAAAAAATAGATACTACAGAGAATATTACTATCAATTATTGTAATTATTGCCATATGAAAAAAAAAAAAAAATTATTGTAATATCATTTGTTTGAGCACATTCAAATTAATCTATTATTAGTACTTATTTTTACATTTTCTTTAACTAGTACATATTCATAATCAATTATTCTATAGGTATATAACATTACCATAGGGATATAGTTAATTAAAATTTAAAGGTATAAAAAAAATAAAATAATAAGTCCAATCACAACAGAATATATTTAATTATATTTAATAAATTTCATAAAATTAATGGTTTTTTTTCATTTTATTATAAGTAGGTACCTACTTCATAATTTTGAATTATATTAAAATGTTGTTAATTATATTATATTATTATTTTATAGATAATAACAATCAATAAGAAAAACTAATGTTTTAGAAACAAGTTTTTCTAAGTTGATTTATGTGTAAATCGTTTTCAACAAATATGGCATTGGAATTGTGTTTCAACTAAACATTTATACCTTCAATATCTATTAAGACCCATCTTCCTTTGATCCCTTTATTGATAAAACCAAAATTATTTGGACAAATAATCCATATATTTTCAGCTATTGTGTCTATAAAATAAAAATAAAAATAAAAATGAATATACATAATATACTACATACATGTATAAATAAGTTTTAGAATTTATACTTCAAAATATAAAAATATTTTTAAAAAAACTACAATAATAGCAGAATATTCTCAATTATATTTCATTTTTAACAATTCCAAATAAATTTAAATTAAAATAACAGATAGGTAGTAATTATTTATAAGTTTAAAATAAATCATAATTAATTTAGGATTTAACAAACTAAACAAATGATGAAGACAAAAGTTGTTTGTGACAGATGTGCCATTGAAACTGTGGTTCAACTGTACACACTTTATATACCTTAGATGTCTATTAAGATCAAATTTGCTGTGAAACTACAACCTTAGTCAATTGAGCAATAATTTTGATGACTGTGCCATAAATTCATAATCTATATCTAATTACTACAAGGAAAAAAAAGTGTAAACAAATAATTAGTTATTGACAACGTTTTACAAATTATATTCAAGTGAGATATTAAACAATGCAGAAACATTTAAAACAACACATAGTTTTTATTTGTTCACTTAACCATTAACTACTGATGTGTACATTTACAACAAAGTTACAGAAGTGCGGTCTACTAAACCATGCATACCTAATTGTACATATTATATTAATTTATATTTAACAAAAAAAAAAATTAAGAAGGTACATTTTATTTATTTAATCTAATTTTTTCTTAATATGTATTTTGAAAACTATAAATTAATGGAATAATTAATTAAAGTAATTGTTTATTATCAATACCAAATTATTTATTAATTTTAAATTAATAAAGAAACATTAGAAAAAAAAAAAAAAGGAAATTTTATTATTACTCTGAAATAAAACATAATTATTATTAATTGATAAAGCTAAATAAATAATTTATGACCCAACATGATAGTATGTCTATTTAAGTCTGATTTAAAACTGAATCGTTTTTGACAAGTATAACATGTAAACTGTGGTTCAATCCCACATTCATACCTTAAGTGCCTTTTAAGATTTGTGCTTCTGTGATTTCCGGAATAACTACGACCACAACTGTTTGGGCAAAAAATCCGTTGAATAATAGACATAGTATTGTATTCTAGAAATATAATCGTTTTCATGTGTTTATAAATTAGGTGTATATATATATATATAAAAAAAGCAGTTTAATAATAAAAAGTACAATCTATTTTAAAGGAGATAAATCATATTAACCAAAGCTATGATAATACTTAATAAAATAATTGCTAACTATACAATATATATATGTTACAATAATATAGTTATACTGTAAGTAGGTATTCAAATTACTTGTATGACATTTAATAACCTTTAACTTTAAAGGTAAAAAAAAAAACTTTTAATCTTGGCAATATTGAGTGTACGGATAAATTATGTCTTAAATTGGAGAGGGGATTAAAAAAATGCTTTTCATTTGTCATGGTGTTTATTGTTGTATGTAGGAATAATTATTTCATTTAATCATGGGAATAATAATAGTTATGACCATAACAAAATAACATTTAAAATATTATTTTATCATGGTTATAATAAATCGGTAAGATATATTAATATTATATTTAGATAGTAATGATATAAACATAATAATATAATAATACCAAACAACCTCGTGATCATAGAAATTAGAAAAGAATCGTCAACCGTGATTCATATTTCATAAATCCATCCGAGAGACTATACGAAAACAAGCAGCTGGCTGATATAACAGTGTACCGTCATTGATAAAATACAGTGTGCACAACATAAAACTCATTTATATTCTCCTTATTTAATAAAATTAAGATATGAAATGGTTTTTTGAAATGAAAACTGAGACACTGACAAATGTTACGCTTTCAATCCAGTATATCTGTAAACATACATTCTATATATTATATACGTGTGTGCGCACGTTCACCAGCGAATAGCGGCTCGTTTATATACAATAAATAAATCTATGCATTTATGAATGCAATCCTCGATCTATTCTTTTCAATTAAAATTGTGACTTTTGATATGTTATCAAGGTCACTTCTCATGATTACGAAAATATATACATTACCAACTTAATATGTGAATGCAGATAATAACGTATCCTGAGCAAATAGTCTGTCAGAATTAAAATCCAAAAATTTGGATTTTCGAACGATATATTTGTATTATATTTTAGTTACCATAATCCGATAATGACAATTATTAAAGATAAAATAATTCAACTATCGAGGAAGTGTAACATGTAAAAATGAATTCATTAAAAACTGAAACTTTGAAAAGTTAAACTGATTTTATAAAATATTAATTATGCTTATTTATCATACACCGATTCAATTAAGTCTGCCATTTTTAAGTTTAATTTAAACCAATAATCAATATTTATTAGAAGTTTTCACTTCTGTCTACAGTCCTAAGACGATAATTTGTATATTTTTTTATAAGTAATATGTAATGGTATATATATGTATATGAATATGATATGTATTATAATTTATAAAGATAATTAAGCTCTTTATTCAACATACATAATAGTCACTTAATAATATAATTGCTTTCAGTAACATGAATATTTTTATAGATATTATATAATATATGCACATTCAATAAACACTTTAAATAACTGATACATTTTTAAAGATTCAACCTTAACTACCCTGGCCTATCGAATAGTATTAACTAGGTACTTCTTTGCTACATTTTCCTTGTTTACTTTCTTCCACAGTCTTACGACTCATAACTTCCCCAATCTCATTTGAATATTCTAAATCATAAGAGTTCATACTCTTTTTGAATTCATTTAGGTGGTGGTTTCAAATGGCATATATTCTTTCTAGTTGTATTCCCATTACCAATCTTTATCTAGTAGGACCATGAAGTATTTGCCTTTATCATGATTCTAATGACTCATAAAGAGTAATCTTTTTTTTATTATTCTCCTTATCGTGCCGCTCTTTATACTTGTCCTGCAAATTCTTTAAACTTCAATGATTGTCTTCCTGCATAGTTAGTTTTAGTTTTTCTTTTGGTACAGGCAATTTTGTTTTTAATAGTCTATACATTAATAATCCCAAATTCTCTTGATAAATGTTTCTGGTGTACTGAATATACCAAAAGGGAGTCTTGTAAATTCAAAATAACCCACGAAGTTCTAAATGTGTATATTGAGTCTGTTGATGCATCATTTAAATTTATCCGCTAAAACCCTTTTTTAATATCAAAAACCCTGAAATACTTCTTATTAACTAACTTACTTCAAATATCATCTAATGTAAGAACTAATAGGTATTCTCTCACAATTACTTTATTTATTTTCTGAGAGTCTAAGAACAATCTTGTTCCCATCTGCTTTATAAACTATAACAATATTACTTAAATACTGTTTTTGGTTTTTCAACTGCTTCTATGATACCACTTTTCAGATGACTATCTTAACTTATTTTTAAATTTGTTTTTACTGTCCAATACTCACCTGTTTGGTTTAATAATATCAATCACAGTATCACTTCTTTTAATTTTTTACTCAAACAGAAACATTCTCATATCCTGAAAAATGTCTTTATGATTGGCTATAAACAATTAGTTTGTGCTATCAATCAATTAAATTATTTGTTTTTAAACTACCTACTTGATTTGCAAGATGTTTTCTCATAAACAACCCCAATTCCATACAACTTGTTAATCTCAACAATGGCTGTTCATTAAGATTAATAATTTAATAATATTTCATTTTTTAATTGAACAGTGTAATACAATTTTGCATATAGGCCTAAGTTTAACCCTTCGTATGCTTTTATCTTAACACTAGTGGATTTAAGTCTAATATTATTCAATTTTAAATTGTTTAATCGGTGGTAAATATATTTGTGATATTGTATCTAGCTTCATAACTACATTCATGTCTTTGCTTAACCAGATTTCCCAAATTCATGTTCTCTATTGCACTTGAAACAATATCCCTTGTTTGATGTGATTCTATTATAAGGAATTTCTAATGGTTTCACTGAGTAATTTGAACTATTTCTATGGTGATCATTCTTGCTACTATGTTTTATATTTGAGACTTTTTAAATTTAGTTTACTGATAAACTGTCTTCATTTTTGCAATTAATTTGTACTACTTATTCATGAGAACATTTAGTGTGCTTGATTATTTTAATAGCTTTATCCAAGCTCTTTAACTCTGTGATACCAATTAAATATTCTTATAACACTTGGATGTTAATATTAGGTACCACTTAATCTAAACTTGGTCTACTGATAAACTGTCTTCATTTTTGCAATTAATTTGTATTACTCATTCATGAGAAAATTTGGTGTCCTTGATTATTTGAATAGCTTTATCCAAGCTTTTTAACTCTGTAATGCTAATTAAATATTCTTATAACACTTTATTATTAATATTAGGTACCACTTTATCCATAATGATTGATTTTTTTAAATAACTGTACTCACAGCTTGCTACCTTGGTCTTAAGTTCAGTTACGTAGTTATATTTTAATGATTCATCTATTACTTGTCGGTAGATAAGAAAATAATGTCTTAATATAATGTTTTCTTCGTAACACATTTTTTTTCAAACTATATTAAATCTTTATAAAGAAAATCCTTTTTATCACTTTCTAACAATTCTTGTTTTTTCAGGGTATTGTATATTTTGATTCTATCATCCCTGATTAGTGTTAGAAAACTAACTATTTTAGTTTTATTATTCTTTGTAACTATTTCTGTTGCTATTAGGTTATTAATAAATTTCTGATTCTAGTTCAAGGATACCAGTTATTACCAGTTTACCTGGAACTCTTATGTCCATGAGCGATGCTTCGCTAATTTACTTATATACTGTGAGAACGCATATGGCTCGCGCATCCACATGATCACACTCCGTTGTCGAATGCGTCGTTGTATTTCGTAGTGGGAGTCGGTTGTGCATACTTTGTAGTAAGGATGTGAGAAAATATACGAGTTTTGGTCCGCTACCATATGCGTTCTCTCGTGGTGCAGAGTATAATACATGCACATAAATAATTTACTACTAGTACTATTTGCACATTAAACTCTAAATATATTATGCGTTTTTGTCTACAGTGCACAATGGGCCAGAATGAGTTCATAATGCGACAAAAATATTTGTTGGCGTATTTCACTTGATTTGGGTTAATACAAATTTTAGAAGTAGGTGTTTAAAAATCAAAATCAAAAATTAATTAATTATTAATTATTACTTCCATTTTTGTTTTTTTAATAAAATCTATATAAATATATATATAAATAAAAATGTATGTTTATCTTTAAATATATAGTTGTGTTTCTAATTTTGTTTAACAAATTATGAAGTATTAAATAATATAACTAAATACATGAATTATGAGTACAATACGTGCTTGTTATGCATGCTAGAGTGTCTTTTCAAATTTGATTTACGTGTGAATCGTTTTTGACAAACATAGCATTGGAACATTGGTTCAACTCCACATTCTAACATTAAATGCCTTTTCAAATTCGATTTTTTCATACATCCTGCATAACTACGACCACAACCGTTTGGGCAGAAAATATAATGAATATTTGCCACCATGTTATAATCTACAAATAAAAAATATTGACATGAAACAAATTTAAATTTCTTACATAAAAAAACTAAATGAAGATATACCAACTTATAAATTAATTTTGGTTGGTATCATTATTCAATAACAAAAACAGAAACTACAGAAAGCACTAAAATTAATTATACCTTTAAGTAGCTTATATTCAATACATTTTATCAAACAAAATATATATAATTTTATTTTTTATAAAAAACTAATCACGGAAATAANTGCCCAAGTTAACCTGCGGTCTAAATGTAAACCTAGGTATCTAACATTTTGGGCGGTTGGGAGAGGTACATTGTTGAGGAAGATGGGCGGGCAGACTATTTGCCTTAGAGTGAACGTATAATGGATGGATTTTGTTTCATTAATTTTTATTCCCCAGTCTTTATACCAGGTTGATAAGAGATTGAGGTGATTTTGTACGAGGTTTGAGGCTATTTCGGGGTCGGAATGGATCGCTAGGAGCGCCTTGTCGTCAGCAAAATCACCAATTGTAGTGTTGGGGGTGCAATACATTTTATCAAACAAAATATATATAATTTTATTTTTTATAAAAAACTAATCACGGAAATAAATTTAATGAATACTAAATAATAATAAAATATTTAATTACAAGAACAAAAACTGAAAAATGTATTTTTCAGAGTTCAGGTATGTCTCTTTGTAGGAGAGGGGCGTAGGAAAGGGGCCATTGCCTTTCCAAAAATGTGCCATATGTACCATATTTCACATAATATTATCTACAGTCTTTAGGATGGATTGAATAAAATACAAATTTCATGAAGAATTTGGATGATTTTGTGAAGCTAAGCTTATTTGGCCTCTCAATTTCCTCCTATGGTACAATTACATGATTTTCTACTTCACCTCACATGTGATTAACCTGAAATACACCCCTTATAATGGTAATAATATAATTTGAATTTATACACTCAAATTTGCCATTTAATTACAGCACAGATTTTTAAGAAATAAAAACAATAATTATGGTATCAAAATATAATTATTCTATTTCAATTATGGTATATTTATAATACAAGGTATACAAATAGCATAAAAAACTCCAATTTTCACAAGATATTTCTAATATAAACTATTTTTAAAAAATATTATATTAAAATAATTGAATAAAAGTAGCCCTTATGTAGTAGGTAATTTATAAATGAAGGACAAAATGAAGCACTTAAATTAAATAATGAAATTATGCATAATAATAATGTAAACTTGATTCATGTATGAATTGTTTTTCTACAAGTATAGCATTGGAATTGTGGTTTAATTCTAAATTCCAACAATAAATGTCTTTTAAGAATGTTCTTGAAGTGATAGCATTTGAGCAATACATATAATGAATATGGGCTATTGAATCATAGTCTGTAAGTATAATTTAAATATCAATTACACAGAAGTAATATTAATTGATACTTATAATATTAATAAGTGGCAAGGTGACAGGTCCTAGTAAGGGTTGTATTCTTCTATTAAAATAGAACAAATAAGCAAAATAAAAAGAGGTCATCACTTATACTCTTGAAACAAGATATGAAGATGTTTAAACTGACTAATAGTCTAACTAATGATCAAAAATCAAAGGTTCTCAAATATTGATTTAATTTATAATATGGTCTTTTGATGCACTAATTTGTATGCATTCTACAACTTTTATTACCATCGAAAAATAAAATTATGAATACTTATCGAGTTTTGTTATTGTCGCATAGTGGTGACATTATAAAATGTCAAGTGATAAAAATTTTTTTTTTTGTTTCTTTGCTCTTCCGTTCATCATAAAATCAGCATATAATATGATAAAAAAGACGGACATAATAGGCAGGATGGATGAACCACTGTTTTTTGTGAAAAGTTGAGAAAGTAGGATATAAGGGGAATTTAATGTGCTTATATCTGTACGCAACGATTAATTATTGTTAACAAAAAACAATTCTAAGCGGAGTTCTATTATACATGTTTTAAAAGGCCGTAATATTTATGATTTTCGTCAAAATTTGATATTAAAATTCTTATTAAAAAAAAATATTATATTTTAAACCAAAATTTTTTTGTTGACCGCTAAGCACAAATTATAACAAACTCCCAAATAAATTTGCATGCATTTATGTTTAGTATAACATTTTTATCCACAGAGTACCTACCGAATGAAAATTATGTAAAAAACTAGTAAAATTAAAATGTCTATAAATATAAAATAGCTATAAATAAAAATGATTTAAATGTTTTTAAAAATGTACTATATTTAAAAATAACAAATAAAATTTTTGTGTCGAAATTTCAAGTTTCTAAAAACATTTTTAACTGAATTACAACAAAAAATTAAAATTGAAATACTAAAATCATTATTTTCGTTAATTTTCCGGTTTTTTCTCAATTATTATGAAAACTGCTTGGAAAATCAAAAAATGAATTACTAGAGTAAAAGTACCAACTCGATAAAATTTCTTTTCAGAAAAAGTATTACACTTGAAAATCGGAGCGAGATTTCTAGTAGAGATTGTGTACATAATATAATACATATATAAATAAACATCATTGTAAAACAAGTACATTCATCGCTTCACTTAGAATCTAAAATTATCAAAGCAATCTTAATTTTAAAAAGATATTAATTAAATAGTAATAATGAGTGTTGAGCCTTTATTTTGAAATCATATTTTAATAATATTTTCTTTTGTACTTTAGGTATGATTTCTTTCGAATTTATTATCTGTTTTTTAATTTGTTTAGAGTAAATTATAGCTGGGTCATATAAGTTTTAAATATTATTATTATTTATAAAACCTGAAGTTTTTTTTTATGAATTTCATTAATATAAATGATGACAATAGCACAAGATTTATCTACAGAACTATTTCTGAATTATTTGTTTTTAATTTATTCACTATGTTGTTAATAATTGTATTTTGTCGTTTAATTATACGATTTTGTTTTAATATTTTATTAGGCTTATTTTTGTAGTTTTCATTGGTGCTGTTTATTAAGTTATATCTTGTTTGATTTTTATTTTGAAACTGTATATAATTTATAACAGATTCACATTATATTAATCAATTTTTAATTTATTGAAAGTTTAATGTTTGATATGTAATGTATTTATTACCTTTATTTATATAAATTTTTTTCAGCTTTATTAAAAATTATAGAAGTTAAATTAGTAACTTGTGGTTGAAAAGAATGCTGGTTTTTAAGTTGTAATTTCTGTGTATTTTGTGCTAATAAAATATTAATTTCATGAAATCGGCAAATTCACAAATTTGGTGTAACATTGATTATTATTACTAAGACTGGGAATGTAATATTCTATAAAACCCTAAAAAAATGAATTTAAATGATTTTAAAAATTCTAAATAATGCATTTCAAAAATTCACTAAAAATGTGTTTATGTTTAATAGTTTTGATGTAAATTATTTTAAAAAAATACAACGATATAGTCGATTTTACTGCTCTAACAGATTATTAAACAGGAAATCTAATAATTCTAAAAATGTCACTTTGGTTGTTTAGTTTTTGATACTACTATTGACCGATAATATATAATGTATTATATAATAAGAGTACCTATTTAATAGTTTGTTATATTTACATAAAAATTATCTAAATCAACGTTTGTATTTTCATTCAAAAGTGAACGAAATAAATTTGTGACAATAAGCAGCGCACAGCAAAGTTTAGAAAAAAAATGCAAAGTGTATTCAATGCAAATTGACATTCCCATCCTATTTATTATTAGTATCAAACTTGAAACCATTTTTTTCTACAAATTTAAAATGAAATATTTCAAAACAAATCCTAAAACAATGAACTTGATTTATAATAATGCAAAATATAATATAAAAATTGTAAATATTAATAATTATAATGTGGTTAGGATTTTGAGGAGTGCTTATTGTGAGCCTGAGGGTGTTTAGTCCTTCAATTACTCCTTCAGTTAAGTCTATGACCAAAAACCTGCCTAATATATTTAGTATAATATTTCTATTTAATTTAGGCTACTTATTTTCTCAATAATATAGAATAAAACTAAAATATTATTTTAGATAGGTAGTAATTTCTTAATATTGTGAAATACGAATAAATCATAATTATTATAGAAAAGGTATTGTTAACATAATTCAATAAATAAAAGTATAAAAAATACATAAATACTAATAAACAATTTTATTTTATTTGAAGAAATAAACATTAGTTTGTTATTTGTTGTTTAAATAACTAAATTATGAACACATATTAGGTGTGATTTTAAATTCGCTTTTTGATTGAATCGTTTTTTACAAATGTGACATTGGAACTTTGGTACAACTCCACATTCAAACAATAAATGTCTTTTCAAATTATATTTTTTGTAATGTCCTTTATAACTACGACCACAATTGTTAGGGCAATAAATCTGATAAGTATTTTTCATTTTCTCATAATCTACAAATATAAGAAAATTTAAATTAGACATCTGTACAAACTATAAAAAAAACAAATGTAAATGTATTGTAATTATATAAATATATTTAATAATTGTTAATAAATAATATTATTTATTTTTATAAATTATTGTTGTTGATTAGATTTAACATTGAAAAGAACCGGAAAAGAAAACAGTATATAAACTGGAAAGAACTATTTTAATAAAGCAAACTATAAGCACATTTCACAAGTTACACTTGATTTATTTTAAAAATACAAATTTTGAAAAGCATTGTTTACTTTTTTCAATTTTTTAAAAATAATTTGTAGATACATTTCTAGTTGTTGTGTATGTTAGTTGATAGCACAATAGTAGGTACCTATATATGTAGAACAATAAAATACAAATATGTTTAAAGTTGAAAAGTTTTTATGATGCACAACAGAAATATATGGTAGATAATATTAAAAAAAACTTAAATTATCTATACCTTAAAAAATAAAAATTTAGCTCTCCTCTTCTTTAAAAAGAGTTTTTCCATTATTTTTGGTGTACTTTTGCATGATTCAAGTCTGTTACTTTCCGCTGAAATACACTGCATATTATACTACATATTAATCAGAGTGCAATACAATAATGCCATAAAATCAAATTATTGTTTAATTTAGATTAATGATTTATTTATTTCCAACTAATATACAATTGAAACTACATATATATTATTATAAACATAGGTATTCATTTAATTCAATATTGCCTATAAGCTATTTTAACAAAATAAATGATTTATGCAAGAGTATAAAATGTCTTTTTAAACTTCCTTTTCGATTGAATTGTTTTTGACAAACGTCACACTGGAACCGTGGGTCCACTCCACATTCATATTGTAAATGTCTGTTGAGATTATGTTTCTTGTTATTTCCACTATAACTATGACCACAATTGTTCGGGCAATAAATCCTCGGATTTTCGAACATTGTTTCATAAACTACTAAAATTATTATACACAATATAAATTTAATTATCCAGCTAGACTTGGATAGGCAAGGCAGGTATATGTCTAAGCAATGGCAGTGGTTATGGTATTTCTAGTTTTCACACAGTAGCAATAAATAATAATATAAAATTATATACAAAAAAAAATGTATAAATAATTATATATACCTATATAATATACATATTACATATTATTATATACATGTAATAATATATATTTTGGTAGACATGGATTTTTTTTTAAAATTTTTCTTCCCTTGATATTATGTTTGGCTAGTTAAAAAATAGGTTTCCCCCGAAGTTTCTGATTTTTAAAATTATTTCAGAACGTCGTGAGCATCAAATTCATCAACAAATAGCCGTTTTATTAGTTTATTTTTTTATAGTCTGAATATTAATTTCTTCGCAAAAAAAAAATCAAATTTAAAAATAAAAAACGATTCTAGTTTAGCATATTAGAGATTAAAATTGTTTTTATAAAAATGTGGGTTTTCGCGTTTAAATTAAGAATTTAAAAAAAGATGGACGAACGTTTTTTGTTTTGATTTTTTTTGTTACCCTTAATTGGTAGTAAAAATATTAAATTTTTAAATATGCGTATCATCTACCCTTACTCAGCTGAAAAATTAAAAAGAAATGGTTAAAAAAACACGTGATTTTAAAATTTATTTATTACTGAAATGTTTTTGATAATCACGAATATAATTGTGGGTCCACTCTATATTGGAGTATTAAATAACTTTATAATTATAGCTATAAGTTTTTTGGATAATGAAACCCATGATTATCTCCAATTGTGTCTAAATTTAGATTAAAATTTGATGTGATAAAAAGTGTGTAACTAAAAAGTTATGAATTAAATAGATATTTATCTATTCGATATCAATTAGTGAAGCACATACTAGTTATAGATTATTATAATAACTACACATATTCTCAAATAGTATACACAGGTTGCATAAGATAAAAATATATTAATTTTATATACATTTTTAACAAAATAGATACATTTAAATTATCAACAAATTTACATCATATGTGGATGCTTTAATTGTGTACATATCAGGTAGTTATTGTATTTTTTTTTTACAATTATTACACAAATTCTAATAAATGTTTTTATATAAAACTAAATAAGTGTTTTATGAACCAATATGACATGTTTTCTTAAACTAGATTTATGATTGAATTGTTTTTGACAAGTTTCACATTGGAACTGTGGTTTCACTCCACATTCAAATATTAAATGTCTTTTAAGATTGTATTTTCCGCGAACTCCTTTATAACTGCGGCCACAATTGTTCGGACATGAAAATGGCAAATACTTTAGTTTCATATTATCACAACCTATAAACAATATTTGAAATCATATTAGATATATAAAAAATGAACAAAAATAAAATAATAAATTTGGTGGTAGGTATTGAATATAAATAAATAAAACAACAATTTATTACATTTAAACCAATTTCAAGGAAAAGAAAAAGTAAATAATAAATAATAATAATAGAATTATTATTTATACCTAGTTGCTGGTATTTTTTTTTTTATTATTGTTAAATAGTTCATAATAATTATAATTTTTTACAATGAAAGAAAATCAGGTAAATATGACAAATATGTGGTATTTTGCACACAAACATTAATACTTTTTTGTGATTAAATTTTAAATAAAAATATTAAACAATCATAAATACACTTTTATACTGATTACAAATATTTAAATACAATGATCGAAAAAAAAAAAATGTATATGCGTTAATTTATTGTTATTTATTACAACCAGGGTTCAGGATTTATTAGACTTAAATAACTTGATTATAAGTCATTAAAAAGTGCTTTAAGTTAAACACCTAAATGTTTTCAAATTTCATATGATATCTTAATATGATATTAATTTCCATAGCACAGCTAGATTTAATGATGAGTCAAGTTAAAAAAAAAAAATCAAACACTATACATAAGTCCCAAATCCTGATTTTAACATAAGTTTTTCATGAATTTATAATTAAGTTAGTATAAATTAAATTTTAAAATAATTACAATCGAAACAAAAATTAATTTCAGTTCATATAGTTATTATAGTTATAACAGTTTCATAGGTATCCACAGAAAATGTACTAATTTTAATGTCTATTATAGATGTTAAATTATAATCATAACAATTCATATTAGGTAATAATACATTAAAATGTTTATACTGTAAGTTCTATGTAGGTTAGTATTACTTTATTACCTACTTACTTACTTCTTTTAATTCCATTTTTTAATGCTACGTTGTACACTTACAATATTGTTAGGGAAAAAAAAAAAAGCTAGGTACTAAATAAATTGATTTAATTCCTATGCCAAGTTTTCATTTTATTGATTAATAGTTTTATACTAGGTTTATTTATTTTATTTCAAAACTATAAATTATGTGAACTTAACAGGTGATTTATGTACTTCAGAAATGTGTCTTTTTAAACTTGATTTCTGAGTAAATCTTTTTTGACAAATAAGACATTGGAACTGCGGGTCGATTCCACATTCATACTGTATATGCCTATTGAGATGATTCTTTCTGTTATTTCCTCTATAACTATGACCACAATTGTTTGGGCAATAAACCCTTGGGCTTTCGGATATTGTTTCATAATCTACAAACATTATAATACAAACAAATTGAATTATTCAGCATACATAAATATTAATTATATGATATTAAATGTCGCAAATATTATATTTTAAAAATGTAAGATAAATATACTACAAAATTCTAATTGTATAGCTGTATAATATATAGTAGTATAGTGGATTATGTTAATTATTTAATTTATAATATATAATTAAATAATAGATTACACTAGATGGGTAGTAATAATAAATGTTAAATAAATCATGATAATTACTAATTTGTAGCGAAAATTAAATCATTACCTATCTACACTATGAATGCATAAAAAAACAGTGGTGTGCCCATCAATTTTTTTGAGAGTATGCCAATTACATCCTGTCTTATATGGGGTATTTTATATCTTTCATATTAACAGGAAAATGTTTATCTTCAGTTATACAAAATTAAATATCTCTTGTAAATCATAAGAAAATTATGAAGTTTTTTTGTTACAATTACCAAAATAAATAAAATGCGGGATAAAATATTATCAACGGACAATGATAATAATATACCTATTATCATGGCAATTTTTTTTTTTTTTAAAACTATTTGATTTTATATACAATTTTTCAACTAAATATTGAGAATACATACCTAATATACGACGCATACTTATACCCAATGGGAACATCACTGCATATAAGACGTAAAATTAGATGACATTTCTAAGTGAATCGGTTTAGACAAACATGACATTAGAAGTTTGTTTAAATCCCATATTCAAATTTTAAATGTATAATTATATTTCCACATTGTATTTTTCTAATAGATCCTTTATAACTATGACCACAACTTTTTGTAAACAAAATCGTATGGATATTAAATTTGTCACCGTGTTATAATATACAAAGATAAATATAAATTGTATGCAAAATATTTAAATTTTGGTACCTATTAAGAACAAAAAATTAGATGTACAAATATGTATAAAATGTACGAGCCCTGAGGAGACTGGTAAAATACTAAAATCATTATAAGGATCAATGAATGATAATCGAGTTTATCGAGGAACACGCGGTGAAATTACGACATAGAGTAATTATTACTATTGGCAATCGCGGCAGCTCGGGGGTGACGGAGGATTATTTATTTTATGCGGGGGATCATGTTATCACATACTTGATTACACGGTTATGGTTAAATAACATAAATTCGCATTCTACAATATACAGGGCGTTTCAAAAGTTTCATCCGATTTCAAAAATTTTTATTTTTTTAAAAAAATGAAGTTATAAGGATGGGATGAAGCAAAAAATATTCATTAAGTAATCAAGTTTTATTTAGTTTAGTTACAACTTACAAATGTTCAATATGAACATTAGTAGCCGCCCGACACATCTCTATACGGTACCTATTCAAATTCCTCCCAAACGTTGCTGATCATACCTTGTGTTACGGCATTCACAGCATCTGCAATCCTGGTTTTGAACTCTTCCAAATCTGCGGGTAATGGTGGTACATAAACATTATCTTTTACATAGCCCCATAAAAAAAAATCAAGCACTGTGAGTTTTGGGGAACTTCTTGATGGCCAGGGATGAATCGCCAAATTGTTCAATCATCATTATAAACCATTTCGAAACTAACTGACGGCAGTTCACTAATGATTAACAGAATTTATCAGCAACATAAAATAAACTAAAAATAAACTTGACTATCTTATCTTTCCATTAGTATACGGGTCGTTAACCTGCGATGAACGATTGCTGAGCTATATCGGTGCGTAATCGGATGGAGACTTTTGAAACACCGTGTATTATGCCATTGGCCCTGGCACAATGATTAATGTCACGTGTGAGAAACTTCGGATTTGAACCCGGAAAGGCGGCCGGCAAATTGTTTCTTTTTAAATTAAATATTTTATTTAATTTGAAAAAGAAAATTCTGTTAGGTACCTATGGTATGATAGGATATTCTATTATTTTCTTATGCTGAAAAGCATTTTTTTTTTTTTTTCTAAGAATAATTAAGAAATTAGGTAAGTGATAAAAGTACTAGGTGCCTATAGTCTTTAAATTAGTGACAGTTGGATGGTCTGTGCAATTTTCTATTTATTAACGAGTTAATTACACTTTATAGAATGATGGAAAGTAATATGGATTGGTTAGGTGTAGATATAAATTATTTATTGGGGGGGAAGGGGGGGATTCTTGAAGTAGTATTCAGTAGTCAGTAGTTACACATTTATATTATGTTATCGACGTGGAGGACGCAGCATCCACAATGTTGCGTTTTAAACGCAAAAAAAAAAAAATCCGCTACCTTTCACGACCTACTTATGCATTAACTATTAGTAATTATTATAGTAATAGTCAAAATTAGAACTTATTAGTAGGTATACAGCCAGGATTTTTCATGGGGGGGGGACAAATAAATAAACCCAAGATTACATGTTTGTCTGTTCACTTTAATTTCCTTTAATTCGATTTAAAAAATACTATTTATCTAAATAATAAATAATGAAAATTAATTACATATAGGTACCACAGTGTAACATATGAAACGATAATTTAATAAAAATACGGCCAATGGAGGGGAACATACCCCTACGTCACTGGGTACGGCTAAATTAATGAATTATGAATACACACAAGGTGCGAGGTTAAACTTGATTTTTGAGTAAATCGTTTTTGGCAAATATAACATTGAAACTTTGGTTCAACTCCACATTCATATTTTAAATGCCTATGAAGATTCCGAGATGCCCTATAACTACGACCGCAATTGTTTGGGCAATAAATCCGATGAATTACGGGCCTTGGTTCATAATCTATAAACATTATAAAAAAGTAATTTTAATTATATAATATTTAAAATATTATTTATTTGTACAGTTAGATATAAGAGACTAATTTATTACTTATTAGTAAGTAGTGAGTATAAAGCAATAATTTAACAATAAGATAAACAAAACCTAGGTACATAGATTGTAACATTATTAAAGTAGGTAGTAATTAATCATTGCATTGAGTGTACACTAGTGTAGTAATGCGCTCTGCATACTCCGGGTATTGTTTATTTTAGTATTCACAACGGTTCGGTTCAGTCTAATTTTTATTTCTGAAAAGTTCGGCCTTAAGTTAGTCCATAAATTATGATCCAAATACACGGAATGGATACGATGAACAGCGTGTTTATACATTCATATTAATTAATATAAAATCAAATTTCCTAACAATGTTTTTTGTTGTCATTGACTCTTTTTTATATAACATTATAGGTACACTTAATATAATTTTTGTTTTTTACGTTATTTTAAAAATAAAGTAATAGTCCGATCCGGTTCAGTCTTATATACATAAACACGGTGGATAAACGAACAAATTCGAGAGGGGGAGTAAATTTCTTACAGTATATATTAAATTTAGACTAGGCATTTCTAAATAATACATAATTTTAGAAAATGATAATATTTTTTATTATTGCGGAATAAATCATAATTAGTACAAACAAATAATTATAATTAAATTAATAGCAATTTGATTGAACAATCAAATGTCATGTATTTTTAAATTTGATTCTGACTAAATAATAGTTTTTGGCGAACATAACATTAGACCTGTAATAATTACAGCCACACATTTTTGGGCAATAAATAAATTTCGTTCATTGAATCGTGGAATCTATAAACATTGTATTAATTATAAAAAATATTTGTTTTTCCATTCAATTAGTAAATTACATTTTGTATACATATTATAATATAATGAGCAAATAAGATAATTATAGAAAAATAACTGGGTGACAGGATTGTTAGGTATGATAAGAGAAGAAAGATTAGAATATAAGAGTGGTTTTATATAGGTGTATGGCAATAATAATATTAGGTAACTAGGGAATAACGATAATAAAAACAGATTTATTAGACAAAAAATAATAATATAAATTATATAGATACACATAAGCTGAAATAATATATTTAGATAGTTTAATAGTAGTTTATCCAGCACGATATATTAACATTTAATTAAAAACATTTATTATATAGATACAGTATGATCAACATAAGATAAGACACTCGTTATCTCGGAAAGTATTATGTAAACTTATTATGAAATTTGTTTCTAACATTGAGAAACAAACTGCTTTAAAATGTTATATTAGGTACCGTTATTTTTTGGTCATCCTATCAGTTTAGATAGGTTGTATTTTTATAATCTGGAAATAAATCATAACTTTACTCAATTAAAATAACTAAATTAATAAATTATAAACAGTTATAAGTTTTTAAAAATTTGACTTTTGACACACATGAAGTTGGAAACATTTTAACTCCACGGATTCCGGATATGTCATAATTGAAATAAATTTCATTGCACAAAAAATATAATTAAAATAAAATGTATAATTATACACAAATAGATATAAACAATGGTTTAGTGATTTTGATCATTATTATTTAATTAATGGTTTAGGAAATTACCAATTACCATTATAAAATTAATATAAATTACATATTCATTAGCTAAATAAATGATTTATGCACAAATATACAGTGTGTTTTTAAATTTGATGGTCGACTAAATCGTTTTTGACAAATGTGACATCGGAACTTTGGTTCAACTCCACATTCATACCTTAAATGCCTATTAAGATTTGTTTTCCTGTGAGTTCCTCGATAACTATGACCACAATTATTTGGACAGTAAAGCCGGTAAATTGTGCTATTATCTATAAGCATTAAAAAAAAAAAAAAAACAAATTATTTATTCAGTACTTCTACATGGAAATTTAATTATTTGACATCCAATGTAGCAAATATTATAGTTGAAAGATTGAATAAAAATATTAAACTCCAATCATAGCAAAATAGAAGAATATGTTAAATAATTTATGGTTATATACATATATTTATGTATATTATACGAACGTATAAAAATTGTACAATATTATTGTAAATATTGTAATTATTGTATTATAGCTACAATTTACATATTATGTTAAGTTAAGAAAACCAGTAGTTATGTATTATTGTTTATTTTATGCTTTTGTTTTGCACCCATCAAATTTGAGTTGGAAGATTTATGTTACAAACTTTAAACCATACAAAAACCTAAGAAGGTACCTAATAAATGATTTTGTTGTATTTTATGCTAATAACTAAATTTGCTCGTTTTCCCATCAATGGTATCAAACTTTGTATTTTTTTATTCACCTAATCTCTTCTAGAATAAATCATTATACTGATTGAACAAGTTGTTTAAATCTGCACATTAACCATTTGAATTATATTAGTTATTCATGTAATTCAAACTTTTTTTTAACAATTACTACCACACATTTGATTAAAGTTATTAGAATTGTTATAACAGAATTAGGTAGATAATTAGGTACCACAATAATAATTATTTTTTAAATAAATTTGTTTTACTACAATTTTATTTTCTTTGTTTAAGAGCAGGGATCAGTAATGGTCGGATGATAAAGTAAATAAGAATCAACAATACATAGTATAGAGAAGTATCAACACTGGTACTATTCTCACTTCTTCGTCGTAATTAGCGATAGAAAATCGTTCTTCATACGATTTTCAATCAATCCAAATACATCATAGATAGACAAGAACCCCGATTAAATGACTATACTAAACCATGAGAGATTAAACTATTAAGTATTGACTACTCTTCATCAAGTAGGTATGTTGCCGGAGCTCAAGATTTATAAATAATATAGGTTGCTTTACAGTTACGCAAACAAAGGGGCCATTGTCCACCTGGGATTTTCAATTGTATGTACTTTTGTGACGCATAATGGCATACCATATTACTATAACAATAGAAAATATTTTTTGAACAAAACGTTTTTTTCTTTTTACTCCGGGTGAGATTTTATCCTGAGGGCACGCTTGTCCGCAACACCCATAATAACCAGTACTTCACCCGCCATACATGACAGACAGCAGCACTCTGTTGCCATATACAGTCAATTAAGAAAAATACTTAAAAAATCAAAAAATGTAACAAAAAAGATCGTAAACAATCGCCTGTAAATATTTAAAATAATGAAATCGTACGTTTTCCGTTTGTTTTTTCTTGATTAATTGCTATTATTTTGAATTCCATTTCGAAAATCAAAAAAAGTACTTCATGAAAATACCAATTACATAAAATTTTCTTTTTCTTTTAGAAAAAGTGCTACTTTTATACATTGGAAAAAGTTTTTTTAGGAGAGAAAGTACTTATAGAACAAAAAAAAAAAAGTTGATAATGGGGACGGGTGTAGCCACTAATTTGGGTGGGAAGTTGAAAAGATAAGATACATAAAGTTATTTAATTTATATCTGTATGCAAAGATAAACCATTGCTAACGAAAACCAATTCAGAGCGAAGTTCGGTTATACATGTTTTAAAAGGACGTAATATTTACTATTTTCGTCAAAATTTGATTTTAATCACTAAGTTTTACTAAAATGTTGATGATACCTAACCTAACTGAAACCTAACCATACCGACGAGTTTTCAACAGTCACAAAATACAAATACTCGCCTCACACGCATCCGGTTCGTTCCATCGTTCACACTTGTATGGATAAGTTCGTTTCGGACTGAACGATATTTTTTCGACC